GGTCCTAGCCCCACAGGGGGCACGGGTGGCCCAGTCGTCTGAGGCGCCGCGATTCGCTGTGCAGAGTTGCGTCCCTTGGACACGCCAGAAACCTATGATTGTGGGTTCGAATCCCGGTTCGCCCCGAATTATGTTTCTAGGTTTGTCAGCACCATACCCGTGCTCGTGGGTTTCACCGAAGTGGTAAACGTCTGAGACCTGCATCACTTCGGGCTTTCCTCCCACATTAAGCTGACACGCCGTGATATAACTGGAATACTGTTAAAAGCGGCGTTAAACCCAACTCACTCACTCACTCCTAGGCCCAAAATACAAACGATCCATGAAGTTCCAGGGTAGAACTGGTCTTCAGCAACCCTTGCTTGTAAAAGGCGACTAACGGGGTCGGGTGGTTAGGCTCGCTGACTTGATTGATGCATTGTATGGCCCAGGCTTGATTATAGTTACAGACCGCCGTCATATAGCTGGAATATTGCAAAGGTCGGCCTTAAAACAAACAAAAACATAATACAAACATGATGAAAATGTATGATCAAATGTGCATGCTTGAGCGTCTTGAGTACAATACACTTTAGGTTCCAACGATAGCTGTGTTGCTTCCATTCTTTGGCAAGAAACATTACTCAAATGTTTAATAATATGGACATTTCCGGTTATAGATAAAACTATTACCCATCCTAAATGAATCTAATGATTTCGACCCTCTCAAAATTCTTCTCAAGATTTTAAAGCAGTTTATTTTCATTGAAACCAAACAACGTATGTTTCAAACATAAATAATTGTCCACAGACTAACGTTTCACGTGGCTTTGTCCGTCGTAAACATTAAATAATGTAACATTGCAAATATACGAAAAAGTATGTGAGTTACAGAGCCTAGTGATTATATTGCTTGACCCCTGTCAGATACGTATGACCCTCCTCTGACCAACCCCATAATAAATGACAGGTCCCTAAAATAGCTCCCCTCAAACTCTGACCCACCCTGGTCAAGTCTACCCGAACAGCTGTTAAACCTATACAGCTGTTTGTTCCGAGCCCATTATAACCTGCCGTCTCCCACCTGATGAGCATGTCGGTTACAGCATGAGTGACATGGCGAGGTTAACCAGGAAACTGAGAGATTTATAATGTGGCTACAGACCAAGATGTAAACACAAGTCCCGCATTTATCTGTCATGGCGGACCGCCTCGGGTGACGCGTCACGTGACACGCGTCCATGATGCATAGTCTTAAAGGTTTCTGGCGTGACTCATTCTAGACGCCCCGTTGACTAATTTTGATCACTTTGAAAGAATGCGTTAGTGACACTGAGTTTGAAGGGGCACAAGCCCCGTGCGGGTTGACAGCCCAAGCAAGATTTCAATAATTCAAAACTGTTTTGACTGCGGCCTCAAACGTTTTGGCGTGTATCGATCTAAGAGTTATGTAACGGCACTGAGAAAATGTCTTTATTTGTCGGATAGATCAGTTCCCTTGTATAACAATATTGTCGTGAATAACATGGAAGTTAATGTAAACTATGAAAAAGAGTCCTATACAATCTTAAGAAGAGATAAGCACTAGGATTGTTTTATTTCATCAGAAAAAAATGATTAAATGTGAAATTAATACACACTAACAGCGATAAACGATAATTTATGGCACCAATTCTCGAAATGTCTTGAGTGAGTGAGTTGAATTTAATGCCGCTTTTAACAGTATTCCAGTTATAGCTCGGCGTGTCAGCTTGATGTGGGAGGAAAGCCCGAAGTGATGCAGGTCTCAGACGTTTACTACTTCGGTGAAACCCACGAGCACGGGTATGGTGCTGACAAACCTAGAAACATAATCGGGGCGAACCGGGATTCGAACACACAATCATAGGTTTCTGACGTGCCCAAGGGACGCAACTCTGAACAGCCAATCCAGACGCCTTAGACGACTGGGCCACCGAACTGTCTTGATAATCATATCTTAGATAAGCTTGCAAATTTTCATTTATGCAATTTCAGGAGTTTCTGCATGTCTCCACTGCAAATACTGTGCACTTTGTAAAATAACATGGATAAAGGGCCATAACTGTGTAATCTCAAAATCTTAAAACATGTAGCAAGGGAAGTAACTCTGGAAAAATTATTTATGGCACCAACTTTCGAACTCAGTCTTGATAAGTATCTCTTAGATAAGCTTGCAAAGTTTCATTCAAGGAGCTTCAGTAGTTTCCTATTTCACGCAGTCGAAAAGCAGGGAGCAAGGGCCATAACCATGTAAAAAATAAATGTAAGACACAAATTTTCGAACTCAGTTGAGATCGTGGCAAGTTACACCAGTGTGTAAAATTTCATTTCTTTAACTTCAATAGCTTTTTTCAGAAACATTGTCCCCAGTGAGAATCGGACAGACGGACGAACTGCGTTCCTACACACCCCGAACCACTTGATGGCGGAGGATCAGGACAAAACTTCATTCTCTCAAAGAGCGTTAAACCCAACCGACCCTCATTCATGCAAAAAGCAACGATAATGGTACCCAGGGTCTAGTGACATTTTGTGTCATTTCATTGCATATTTCAGCTACGTTTGTGACTCCGATTTCATTTGAGACTAAGTATATCTTGAAGAGTTGAGGCCCTTAGATGTGCCAGGATCTCTCATACCAGAATCGCTTAGATTATGATTTTGGGTTTGTTAACACCATGCAAGTGCCTGTAGGTTTCTCCAAAGTGGTCCGTGACCTGCATCCCTTCTGTCTCTCTCTCCCCCCCCCCCCCCCCCCCACACACACACACACATTTAGCTGACAGGATTCATTTGTGCACATTGGTGAGTCTTTTTCCTTCCTCCTCGGTCGAGGTAAGTACACACTTGACGTGACAGGGAATCACTCCTGTTGTATATAATTATATAATTATGAAATATTCAATCAAGATATAAAACGTTGAAAAGTTGAAATTATGCAGAACAATATATTTCCTGAACTTAAACACGACATCATTTCATGGTGTCAGTTTTAGATGAGAGATTTGCATAAAAACACCGAAAACAAATTGATGTTTCCTCAATGGCGACCAAGGTCACCAGTGTGTCCTGGTAGCCAGATGGTGATTTGCACCTGGAATTACCCACCTTACAGTTGCATGTCGTGTCACATCTGTCAGGACATACGAGTGAGTGAGTGAGTATCATAGTCACACTTAAGGAAATAAATCACAAATTGTTTCCCTGCGTGACTCAGAGTGAGTGAGTGAGTGAGTGAGTCAGTTTGGTTTAACGCCGCTTTTAACAGTATTTCAGTTATATCGCGGCGTGTCAGCTTAATGTGGGAAAGCCCGAAGTGATGCAGGTCTCAGACGTTAACCACTTCGGTGAAACCCACGAGCACGGGTATGGTGCTGACAAACCTAGAAACATAATCGGGGCGAACCTGGATTCGAACCCACAATCATAGGTTTCTGCGAATTGCGGCGCCTTAGACGACTGGCCCACCCGTGCCCCCTGCGTGACTCAGAAAAGTAGGTTCAATGACCAGTTAATGCTATAAAAATATTAATATTCCTGTCACATTATCAAAAATTCCATATATGAATTGTCTCAATATGACAACTAAGACGTTTTAGCAGGACATATTTGGATCAGATAAAATTAATTACTTGTTTCACGGGAAATGCTTAATAAATGTCTAGAAGCAGGCGGAGAGTAAAAAGAGTGAGTGAGTTAGTATGGCTTTATGCCGCTTTTAGCAATATTCCAGCAATATCACGGCGAGGGGACACCAGAAATGGGCTCACACATTGTAGCCATGGTCGTGGCATCCTGCTCATTATATCAATCACTGGATTGTGTGGTACAGAATCGACTATTTAAAGGCCGCGGTTATATAGCTAGAACAGTGAGATTCCATTGCATGTAAACCCAGTGCACCCGTGAATTTCCGGGTTAGAATAAGTCTTCAGCAACCCATGCTTGCTTTAAAAGACGACTAACGGGATTGGGTGAGCTGGCCCGCTGACGTGGTTGATGATGCATGTCATTGTATCCCAATTGCGTGGATCGATGCTCATGATGTCAATCACTGGATCGTCTGGTCCAGATTCGACTATTTACAGACCACCGAAAATAGCTTGCATATTGCTGAGTTGCGCGTCAAACAAATAAATATAACCAGTGCTGAAATGTCATTCAGAGTGCATAGTAGCATGTTGTTTGTGTATTGTGTGTAGCTACGATTACACGTGCAGGATCGTCTCCAGATGTATGGCGGGTCTTTTTTATGCAATGTCTGTTAGTTGTTTAACAATGAACAATGACTGAGTGAGTGAGTATGGTTTTACGCCGCTTTTAGCAATATTCCAGCAATATCACGGCGGGGGACACCAGGAATGGGCTTCACACATTGTACCCATGTCGGGAATCGAACCCGGGTCTTCGGCGTGACGAGCGAACGCTTTAACCACTAGGCTACCCGACCGCCCCTTATGAACAATGACACGACGACATGCATGAACAAAATGTGCAAGCCTGAGCACGCGAATCCGCTAGTCGCCTTTTACGACAAGCAGTCGCCTCTTTCGAGCATGGGTTGCTGAAGGCCAATTCTTACCCGGATCTTCACGTTTTATTATGCAATGTGTTTAACTCCGATAGTATGTAAATATGTGCAGAAACACTTTGTTTTGTGTTGTTTGAACTGCATCATAGCCGATGTAAACATGTATTGCGTTTCACATCTGTGTATGTCGCAACAAGAAAGTGAGTAAATTGGGCTTTACTCTCACAATAATTCAGTTACATCACGGCGTGTCAGCTTCGTGTGGGAGGGAATCCCCTGTTGATGCAGGTCTCCGGGCTTTGCTTCTTCGTTGAAACCAACGACTGCGGGTAAGGTTATGATAAACCTAAAACCACAATCATAGATAATCTGGGACTCGAACCCACAATCAGAGATTTCTGTCACACCTAAGCGAAGCAGCTCCACACCGCGAATTGCGGAGCTGTTTAATAAGAACAGAAAACAAGCGTACTGTACATGATTTTAATCTTCCCTGACATCAAATCGGACCTTTTAACAGACCCATATATACTATTCCACTGTAGCACACCAACGTATCATGATCCATTTCCATTATCTGTGATAATATTTAGAAAATATTCAAAATTAGCATGCATTAAATTAGCCTACTATAAAATCTTAGGTGAATTTCGTGTTAAAATATATTTATTTCACATTTTCACATGTACACAGGAGTCATATTTTGTAAGTTTTTGTCCCGAACGTCTGAACAATCTTGGCAGTGTTCTGCATAGTATCTATATAATAAATGACGGAAGAATGCAACACCAGCATACACACATATATAACATTTATACAAAGCCACATCTGAGTATTAGACAAAAGTGAAACACGTATGGGATGTGATGAACCAATCAAATTATTCGATGTCTAGTGACGTCATGTTAAGTCAATAACCAGAATTATTGTCGAAAATAAAAGTCCTGTATTACTCAACTTTGATTGGGGCATGTGGATGTCCAGGCGGCGATTGCTAGAATTTGTTGTCATACGAATAGTGTTTAATATTGTCATGAATCTGACCAAGTTGTAACATTATTACAAATCAGAATGAATATAAGTACATTTCCATACGCTGTGGGTCTTAGTTTGATAATATAACGATATAGCACAGTATCCCTGTCAAAAGTTAAGTATTATATATTCGTAAAGAGAGGATTTCATGAACATGTTCCTAACGAAATGTATGGTTAGTAATCAGGCTTACAAATAAGGGTTAATGACAAGTGCATTTTGATCAGCAATCACTAATCATGCTTACAAATTAGAGTTAAGAAAGTTAAAAATGAGTGAGTGAGTGAGTGAGTATGGTTTTACGCCGCCTTTAGCAATATTCCAGCAATATCACGACGGGGGACACCAGAATGGGCTTCACACATTGTACCCATGTCGGGAATCGAACCCGGGTCTTCGGCGTGACGAGCGAACGCTTTAACCACTAGGCTACCCGACCGCCCCAGTTGAAAATGAACAGTGTCAAATTCGTTGAAGTGCATTATGATCAGCATCGCTCGGCTCAGCCGAGTGCCAAGTCTACATTTGTAGTGTTTATGAGTTTCTCGATGACGATTCAGTTGCCATGGTTATAGCTTTGTGATGTAGGAATCTTCCGCTGCCTCTTCATCGGAATAATCTGTCACGCCCAACAGCATCGGAATGGTCCGTTGTATCTTAGCAACGGCAAGGGCATCGTAAAGATCCAAGAAAATATTTTCGTGTGGAATTTTATTGAAAACGCCAGCATGTTTCATAGCTTTCCGCATATCATAAGAACAACCGCACAGGAACAGTTTGATGTTGACGTGGTCGTACTCAGTGAAGATGTGACTAAGGACATTGGCGCCTGAGGCATCCAAGTAGTTGATGACGCTGCAATCGACGATGACGTGGTGCGTGTGTCTCATAGTTCTTAGTTTCTCATCCGTCACAAGGATGCCGCCGTCCTCGGGGTCGACTTCTTCGTCCTCGGAGTTGACCGTGTCGATGGTGTCGTTGGAGTAGGTGGAGTCAATGCTTCCGTGGCGTTTTATGCTGCTGTCGGCGTTCTGTCGGAGCACACAGCTGTTATTTTGTACCTCGTCAGTCATTGTGAACAGAGGGTTGTCCATATTGGAGACTGAGACGCGTTTGGTGCTGTCACTTTTTGTATACACTGTGCTGTTCATTCCCCCAATGAGGTTATTCTCAGAGGTACTTAGAGTCGTGTTTTCAGTCGGCACAACGGAGCTTCTTTTATCTTCGCTAAACAGCACCTCACTCTTCCCAGATTTGCCCATTTTCTTTTCGTATTTCTTTATCATCTTCAGTAGTTTTCTGGGGTTCACAGTGCATTTGTAGAGGTTGGATCGGAAGATCTCGGCGTTGGCGTAGTACAGAGAAGACTGGAAGCGGAAGATCTTGACGCCAGGGATCTCGACGGAATCCTGATATTTCTTGTGCTCCACCAGGGTGCTGTCTTTCGTGGTTCTGCCGAGTCTGTAGCCGCGGGCAAACTGAGTCTGGAACACAACAGTGATGAGTGACACACCCACGCCGATGAAGAGACCGTAGTCGATGTCGAGGAACACGGCGCTGGTGAAGGTGCTGAACCAAATGACGAAGTCGAATTTGTTGACACGCCAGAATTTGCGTCCGTCGAGAATCTGGATGAAGAGTCCTTTGAGAGCGATGAAGATGATGGCTGCGAGGATTGACTTGGGGAGAACCTCGAAGACGAAGCTGATGACCATGATGACGAGGACCATCAGACCGGACGTAAAGATGCCGTTGACGACCGTCTTGGTGTTCATGCCGCTTGAAACCATGGATCGTGGGGGCGCCACGCTTGAGGGAAAGCACTTGAAGAAAGAGCTGACAAAGTTGCACATGCCGTAGGCGATGAGTTCCTGACTGTCGTCAACCTCGTAGTTGTGTTTCTTGGCGCAGATCTTAGCCATGGCGATGGTGTTGGCGAAGATGAGGATGGCGATGATGAAGCAGTCGGCCAAGACATCGGGGGCTTCTGCCAGTGGTGGAATGACAGGTGGGGGAATGGAGTTAGGGATGCTACCGACGATTGCGATTCCAAAGTTTGTGTTTAGGTCACCAAAGTAGCCAACGATGCATCCAATGATGACGACGAAAAGCTCGATAGGGATTGGCATGAAGAGCTTATGCTTGAATCTCTCGTTAATGCAGTCCTTGACCAGCACGATGATGAGACAAGTGATGACGGCACAGACGATGGCAGCAACGTTGACCTCGGTGATGTGGGAGAAGATTTCAATGTAGTTATTGATGAACTTGAACAGACCGCCGTGTTTCGTGATGTCCAAACCAAGCATAGCTGGAACCTGGCTTGTGGCAATGTGGATAGCAGCTCCTGATGTGAACGCGCAGAAGAAGGACTCGGATAGGTAGGCGGTGATGAACCCGAGCTTGAAGATGCCCATGAAGATCATCATTAACCCCGAAACGAAAGTCACAGCCATGGCTACCCCTTCCTTGTAATCCAAGTATGCAGGGATTTCATTAAGATGCACTTGAGTACCGTTCAATGTAAAGTTCAGAATATCCGGATTAGAGGCGACAAAGGCCTCGCCTTGACGGTCCACAACACCAGCAGTCAATATACAGATCACAGCACTGGTGCCGATGGAAACGTGGGCAGATGTTCCGAAAAATACGTAGATGATAACAGGCCATAAAGATGTATACAAGCCGTTCTCGATCTTCACAGACGTCAGCTGGCCGAACGCCAGTGCTTGGGGGATATGTAGTACCCCAATTGTTAAACCTGCCAGGATGTCAATCAGAATGTTTTCTTTAATGTTGTAGTACCGTAGGACCTTGAGGATTGGGAGATAACCGCTCACCAGCTTCCATAGTCGCTTCTTTGAGCAATACGCCTGTTTCTTCAGGCGTTCGGATATGCTCTTGGATTCGAACTCGGTCTTGGCGTGGATATCGTCGAACGCTGTTTGAGTAAATGGTGGTCGCTTGATGACAATGGCATTGTCAACGACGTTGACGGCAGGGCAGGAGAAACGTCGTCCTTTCGTGCCCAGGCAACCGGGTGGGATCACTATTGCCGCGTCACTGATAGATACTGAGCGTTTCTCCTTCATTGTGGGAAGTCTGTAAATGTAGAAAATAAAACAAAAACTAAGTCATGATAGAACTGAACGGTACACAGTCACACAGGAACGAATAGTCAGTGTTTAAATGTTGACAGTAAAAGTATAACTAGTTTGTTTATGTCTTTTGTAAATATTGTATTAGTTACAGTTGTGGGTTACATGTTTTGTTTTCATTGTGTTATACCCAAATCCCTCCCACACAGTGACTTAAGCGTGGTTAAGCGTGTGACGGGACCCAACATGGCTCCACTTGTTTCCCTTGGTCCGATAGTATTCGTGTCTGGTGTTTGGTGTAGAGTTTGAGTTTCTAGGAATGGTGCAATATTTGCGTCCTGTAAAACCCTGCTATCATCAGAAATCAATCGTACTTGTAGCGCTACGAAACGTTATATAGAGCAGGTTATTATTGAACATTGCATCGTCATTAAAGCCACATAGCTACGAGTGAATGAGTATGGTTTTGCGCCGCTTTCAGCAATATTCCAGCAATATCTCGGCGCCACCGCCCCACACAGCTACGAGAATGTTATAAAAATGTTTTATGCTTCAACAGCAATGCATTTGATTTCAATGTAATATACCCGCTGGTTTGACAGATGGAACTTCATAAATACAAGTTCGAGTTTTATAACGCAATTCTGCACAACACGACATAAAACGGTGTTTGTCCACTCGACATGAGGACATTATGCGTTTACCGTGTTTGCCTGTATGTTACGGTAATAACGTTCACCGTGGAAGGAAGAGAATATATGGATGCCAACTTCTTTATTATGAGGAACACAACGTTTCGGAGTATATGCTTACTCCTTCATCAGGTGAATGAATGCCATGAGGCAGAGAGCATATACATGTACATGTAAGGACAACAAAATTAATAAGATAACAAAAGGTGGAAAATAACAAAGGGTACAAGCTAACAAAGGAAGTCAACAGAGATGATTGGCGCTGATAGCAATACACAATAGAAGCCTAACACTTAAGTTCTCACAGCTAACAGCTAAGTAATTAGTAATGGACACTGGGCAGTATTCCAGTTATAGCTCGGCGTGTCAGCTTAATGTGGGAGGAAAGCCCGAAGAGATGCAGGTCTCAGACGTTTACCACTTCGGTGAAACCCATGAGCACGGGTATGGTGCTGACAAACCTAGAAACATAATCGGGGCGAACCGGGATTCGAGCTCACAATCATTGGTTTCTGGCGTGCGCAAGGGACGCAACTCTTCACAGCGAATTGCGGCGCCTTAGACGACTGGTCCACCCGTGCCCCTCGTATACTAGTACTTATCTGAGCGATATCATTTTATTGCACGTATTGTTAATTAACGTACACGTAAGCCCTGTGCGAATTTTCAAATTCTTCAAGAAATTATATTTGCTATCAAGTTTACACATCTTTCTGTTAACCTTAATACGCTTATTATTTTACCTTTACAGTCCTCTTCGTATTTGGATACAGTTTTAAGAACATAACATATTACGATGAAAAATATTAACATGTGTGAAATCTACCTTATTGATATAATTTGTTTGTTTATTTGTTTGTTGTTTAACGCCGCACTCAGCAATATTCCAGCTATATGACGGCGGTCTGTAAATAATCGAGTCTGGACCAGACAATCCAGTAATTAATATCATGAGCATCGATCCACGCAATTGGGATCAATGACATGCATCAACCAAGTCAGCGAGCCTGACCACCCGATCCCGTTAGTCGCCTTTTGCGACAAGCATAGTCGCCTTTTACGGCAAGCATGGGTTGCGAAGACCTATTCTACGTCGGAATCTTCACGGGTCTGATATAAATTGAAGCAACATAGAATTTTCTGATGACCAAAATACAATCGTAATGTACTGACAACCGTATGTTTGTTTCAGACGAAATATTTACCACTAAACATCAAAGCACCAAGAGCTGTCACACGCCCGATGAGGATAAACAATTTTTGTGATATGTCTTGAAGATCCCATGAAGATCCTTCATCCCGAAACAAAGTCAAAGCCATGGCTACCACTTCCTTGTAATCCAAGTATACAACAATTTCATTAAAAGGCTCTTGAGTTCCGCTCAATGTAAAGTTCAGAATATCCGGATTAGCGGCGACAAAGTTCTCGCCTTGACGGTCAACAACACTAGCAGTCAATATACATATCACAGCTCTGGTGCCGATGGAAACGTGGGCAGATGTTCCGAAAAAATACGTAGATGATCACAGGCCATAAATAGCCCACCATCATAGGTTTCAAGCGTGTGCAAGGGACGCAACTCTGCACAGCGAATCGCGGCGCCTTAGACGACTGGGCCACCCGTGCCCCCAGAATAATATGGAAGTACTACTTTAGTCAACATGCATGTTATAGATTATGTTGTATCTTCACAATTATGTTTGATTACAGAGTTAAAAATATTAGATTATTCTCCTTTGGTGTCAGACGTGCACTTGTCCTGTTCCGTTATCATTAGAATCAATAAATGAGGCTTCAATCGCAGACAATACTCAATTTCCTGAAGTAGACGAAGATGATAATGTTAGGCCACAACGATATGACTCAAACAAGATGGATATATAGCAGTAGCATGTCGATATTGAACAGGTAAACATACTCACAACTGTTGTCCACAAACTAAGCTCGCGTCAGGTTGAAACCACGGCCTGTGATGACATCGCGCTCGTGCATTCTGACACCGCACGTGGACGTATAACACGTGGAAAGCGGACACTTGTAAACCAGAGATACAGTTAGAAAAGAAATACCTTGGTTGGGTGACAGTTTCGAGATCGTCTTAAAAGATTGTATAAGGGTGATTATCTTATTTCTATGGGTAAACTCGTCAGTTTCAGTAATGTAATTGCGAGATAGCCAATTAACAATACCATTGTGCCCAAGTGGGGAGTTTAACAGTCTTACCTCAGCACTCACATTATATAATGAGAACATAAGACTCAATCCACTGAATCCAGTTCAGTGTGTATTCAGTGTGGTGAAGCTCATGGAGCAGCATCTCCCCCTCTCTCTCCCTCCCGGTCTCGCTCTCCCCCCCCCCCCTCCCCCCCTCTCTCTCTCCCTCCCCCCCTCTCTCTCTCTCTACCTCCCGGTCTCTCCCTCTCTCTCTCTCTCTCTCTTAAGTTTTCAAGGAAAGATGGACTTTAAACACACTAGTTTACAAGTAATCATAATGTGGTTGTGCATATTCCTTTTTTATGCGTGACTATGATATGATTATAGTAATCTACGTTACATAAATTGTAATCTACGTTACCTTCATGAATATTGTGATTTCAGCAAGACTAACAAGGATAGACTAAGTATTTACTCTTCAATGTAAACTGTCATCATTACATCTGGCACCTAGGATTTGTAAATGTCCACCAACAAACACATAATGACACAGATCAGGTAACAAATATGTTCTTCACAGAAAATGTGACAGCTACGTTACCACCAGTAATAAGCAGCAAACATTATAAAAAACTGTATATACTGAAACACTATTGGAAAATTATTTATCTGGAGAGAAAACTTGATCAACAAATCTATTGATTTCCTTTTAGATCATGTGAATTTTGATGTCAATGGCCTTCAAAACATTAGTATTGTTTATTCAAGCAACAAACATATCATCACTGCCATGCACTTATAACACTAAAAAACGTAAAAAAGGCAAGTGATTTATATTTCAATAATGCTTGATTTTATGTTAATTCTGACCTATTAATATTTCAAAAGAAAAATATATACATATTCACACCTTTTTAATTCAGAAAATCTGTAAAAACGTACACAGTTTTTTCCTGTCTTGAAATCACCTGATTTGACCGGAAACATGTGGTAAACAAGGGGAACAACTGCTGATTGGTGGGAATTAGCACTTATGCCTTCTCAGTGTTGGCATGAACTGTAGACTTAATGTTCCTGTAATTAACTCCCTTTTTTATTTCAAGATGTCACGTAGCTTACATCACGTAGCTTACATCACGTAGCTTACATCTCGATCTATAAAACACCCTCAACACACGTGGAAAATACTTACAATCTTGTTTCTCACTTTGACAAGCAGACAGCACTTAGGCAACATGAGCATAATCCCTGTACCATAATCGGGAGACCAGTTTTTATGTATCGGCAGTAACGTAGCTTACAAGCTTAACTCAACTCTCGAAAATGGTGCTATTTTCGTGACATAAAGTGCTTATTCATTTAACCGGATGCCTGTCACCACTTTGGCTCACCAACGTGTGTATTCGTGATGTCTTATGAACAATTATATTGTTTTTATATCTCAAAATGACAGTTGCTGTTTCAAACAGAAATAAAGTAACGTAGCTTACCTGAAAACTGGCGACACGTTTTTAACAAGCATAACTTCGTCATTAAATAAGATATCTCTGTGAAATTTGGCATTCTAGTGCATGATATATCAGAGTTACTGAAAAAACAAGAATAACTTGCTTAAACATAAGGACATTTAACCAATCACAATCGTTTCATGATTGATATTAAAATCGACAATCACATTATACTAAAATGTTGCTATTATGACCGATGCTGCAAAACTATGGTTTGGAAAGCAACCAAAATGTCAGTGTCACATCTTTCCCAATACCATTCCCAACATTTACTTTCTCTGTCAAGTTAATTTAATGCAAAATATACGGCTAGTGGCTAAGCGACAGGTTAAATTTGAAATTGTACATTCTTCGTGAGAATGGGTGATTTACTCATTCAATGTAGCCTGGTTTATACCACTGTGTGGGTGATGTAGTGTGGTATATTTACAGTGTGCGGGAAATGAAGTGTGGTATATTTACACTGTGTGGGTGATGTAGTGTGGTGTATTGACAGTGTGAGGGCGATATAGTGCGGTATATTTATACTGTGTGGGTGGTGTAGTGTGGTGTATTGACAGTGTGAGGGCGATGTAGTGTGGTATATTGACACTGTGTGGGTGGTGTAGTGTGGTATATTGACACTGTGTGGGCGATGTAGTGTGGTATATTGACACTGTGCGGGAAATGAAGTGTGGTATATTTACACTGTGAGGGCAATGTAGTGTGGTATATTTACACTGCGGGATATGTAGTGTGGTGTATTGACAGTGTGAGGGCGATGTAGTGTGGTATATTGACACTGTGTGGGTGGTGTAGTGTGGTATATTGACACTGTGTGGGCAATGTAGTGTGGTATATTGACACTGTGCGGGAAATGAAGTGTGGTATATTTACACTGTGAGGGCAATGTAGTGTGGTATATTTACACTGCGGGATATGTAGTGTGGTGTATTGACAGTGTGAGGGCGATGTAGTGTGGTATATTGACACTGTGTGGGTGGTGTAGTGTGGTATATTGACACTGTGTGGGCGATGTAGTGTGGTATATTGACACTGTGCGGGAAATGAAGTGTGGTATATTTACACTGTGTGGGTGATGTAGTGTGGTGTATTGACAGTGTGAGGGCGATATAGTGCGGTATATTTATACTGTGTGGGTGATGTAGTGTGGTGTATTGACAGTGTGAGGGCGATGTAGTGTGGTATATTGACACTGTGTGGGTGGTGTAGTGTGGTATATTGACACTGTGTGGGCGATGTAGTGTGGTATATTGACACTGTGCGGGAAATGAAGTGTGGTATATTTACACTGTGAGGGCAATGTAGTGTGGTATATTTACACTGCGGGATATGTAGTGTGGTGTATTGACAGTGTGAGGGCGATGTAGTGTGGTATATTGACACTGTGTGGGTGGTGTAGTGTGGTATATTGACACTGTGTGGGCGATGTAGTGTGGTATATTGACACTGTGCGGGAAATGAAGTGTGGTATATTTACACTGTGAGGGCAATGTAGTGTGGTATATTTACACTGTGCGGGAAATGTAGTGTGGTGTATTGACAGTGTGAGGGCGATGTAGTGTGGTATATTGACACTGTGCGGGAAATGAAGTGTGGTATATTTACACTGTGAGGGCAATGTAGTGTGGTATATTTACACTGTGCGGGACATGTAGTGTGGTATATTTACACTGTTTGGGCGATGTAGTGTGGTATATTTACACTGCGGAAATGTAGTGTGGTGTATTTAAACTGTTTGGGCGATGTAGTGTGGTGTATTTACACTGTTTCGGCGATGTAGTTTGGTATATTTACACTGTGCTGGATATGTAGTGTGGCATATTTACACTGTTTGGGCGATGTAGTGTGGTATATTTACAGTGTGAGGGCGATATAGTGCGGTATATTTATACTGTGTGGTATATTTACTCATTCAATGTAGCCTGGTTTATACCACTGTGTGGGTGGTGTAGTGTGGTATATTGACACTGTGCGGGAAATGTAGTGTGGTATATTTACACTGTGCGGGAAATGTAGTGTGGTATATTGACACTGTGAGGGCGATGTAGTGTGGTATATTTACACTGTGCGGGATATGTAGTGTGGTATATTGACACTGTGCGGGATATGTAGTGTGGTATATTGACACTGTGCGGGAAATGTAGTGTGGTATATTTACACTGTGCGGGACATGTAGTGTGGTATATTTACACTGTTTGGGCGATGTAGTGTGGTATATTTACACTGCGGGATATGTAGTGTGGTATATTTACACTGTTTGGGCGATGTAGTGTGGTATATTTACACTGCGGGATATGTAGTGTGGTATATTCACACTGTGTGGGCGATGTAGTGTGGTATATTTACACTGTGCGGGATATGTAGTGTGGTATATTTACACTGTGTGGGCGATGTAGTGTGGTATATTTACACTGTGCGGGATATGTAGTGTGGTATAATCACACTGTGTGGGCGATGTAGTGTGGTATATTTACACTGTGCGGGATATGTAGTGTGGTATATTGACACTGTGTGGGCGATGTAGTGTGGTATATTTACACTGCGGGATATGTAGTGTGGTATATTTACACTGTTTAGGCGATGTAGTGTGGTATATTTACACTGCGGGATATGTAGTGTGGTATATTCACAGTGTGAGGGCGATGTAGTGTGGTATATTAACACTGTGAGGGCGATGTAGTGTGGTATATTGACACTGTGCGGGAAATGTAGTGTGGTATATTTACACTGTGAGGGCAATGTAGTGTGGTATATTTACACTGTGCGGGACATGTAGTGTGGTATATTTACACTGTTTCTGCGATGTAGTGTGGTATATTTACACTGCGGGATATGTAGTGTGGTATATTTACACTGTTTGGGCGATGTAGTGTGGTATATTTACACTGTGCGGGACATGTAGTGTGGTATATTTACACTGTTTCTGCGATGTAGTGTGGTATATTTACACTGCGGGATATGTAGTGTGGTATATTTACACTGTGGGCGATGTAGTGTGGTATATTTACACTGCGGGATATGAAGTGTGGTATATTCACACTGTGTGGGACATGTAGTGTGGTATATTTACACTGTGCGGGATATGTAGTGTGGTATATTTACAGTGTGAGGGCGATGTAGTGTGGTATATTAACACTGTGGGGCGATGTAGTATGGTCTGTCTACACTGTGGGGCGATGTAGTGTGGTATATTTACAGTGTGAGGGCGATGTAGTGTGGTATATTAACACTGTGGGGCGATGTAGTATGGTCTGTCTACACTGTGGGGCGATGTAGTGTGGTATATTTACACTGTGAGGGCGATGTAGTGTGGTATATTTACACTGTGAGGGCGATGTAGTGTGGTATATTAACACTGTGGGGCGATGTAGTATGGTCTGTCTACACTGTGGGGCGATG